TAGATAAAGTACATGACTTTGTTACCTAAAGCCAATTTTTAATAGTTTTCATCAACAATCATATCATTATTTAATATTCACTAAATATTTCATCACTATTTTGGTGTTCACGTAAAAAATGATGTAATACAACGCAAGCAAATACTAGAGAGGGTGTTTTTGTAAAAGATAAAAGATTGGGGTAAAATTTTAATTTTTTAAATATCCCAAATAATGATATTTGGCCCAAATACTAGAAAAAACTAGTATTTGAAAATTTGGGATATTTGCCAAAAATATTTGTCAAATAATGACAAATTGTATGAACAAACATTATTTGCCAAATTTTTCCCAAATATTATTTGAAAAATTTATGGCCAAACGGGCTCTTTAATAACATTACAACACTTCTCTTTTAGATATTTTGCTTAATTCCCATACATGGACTACAATACTTGGAATAAGATACTATTATTTTTCCCCAATTCATCTTCTCTAACTTCAAAGAATTCACCTCACCTCCATTAATCATGGTAAAAATTCACTTTATTTTTGCTACCATCTACCATTGAAAATGAATGGATCCAACGTATAATCATTTCTCATAATTTGTTAGTCACCAGAATGATCAATTTAAAAGGTATAATATATAAATATGTCCTGTAACTTAGCTTCGAATTATATTTATGTCCTTCAACTTTGGAAATGCACAAGTAGACACTTAAACTTGTACAAAATTGAACAAATAGACGCACATATCCTACATGTCATTTTTGGCATAATACATAAATATGCTATTTAACTTGACTTCGAATCACATATATGCCCTTCAATTTTTGGTTTAGACAAGTAGACATTTAATCTTGTATAAAGTTGAACAAATAGACACGCACGTCCTACATGTCATTTTTTGTCTTATGTGGTATCCTACGTGTATTTTGCAGTGTAGGACTCATGTATTTATTTATTTAAAAGTTGGATAGTTAAAGTGCATGTTTGTGCATTATGAAAGTTAAAGGTCAAAGTTAAAATTTGAAACCAAGTTTAGTGTCCAATATATGTATTATGCCTGTCATTTTTTGTCCTACGTGGTGTCCTACGTATATTTTGTCATATAGGACTCATGTGTTTATTTATTTAAAAGTTGGATAGTTAAAGTGTTTGTTTATGCATTATGAAAGTTGGAGATCAATCATAAAATCTGAAGTCAAATTTTAATTTTGTGCTATGGTTGAAGCTTTGCAAAAGCTTGCAATTGTTGGTAGGTCATGTCTATGAATATTATGCTTGTATTAATATTTGTTAGTAGTAAAAAAGATCCACTAATTAACGAGATTAAAAATTTATTAATTAAATTTTTTCCTTTCCCTTTTCTGAATGAGTTTTATTTTGTTATATTTCAATAAAAATCACTAACTAAAGATGGACTAATTGGAAAATGTCAACGGATTCTAATAGGTTTAGTAATTTATAAAGCACAAAATTGATTCATTGGCAAAAAAAATTCTAAACGACTGAGTATTTATTGGCAAGTTACCAATAAATAACAATTAGTTGGTAATTTACCAACTTATATCTAATTAGTTGGTAAAATTAGCTACAAAATTCTTTTGTTAGACAAATAGTTAGCTAGTAATTTCGTTAATAAACTATACTCTTTTTTTTTACTATATTTATCCAATGAGTAATATTGCTTGTTGGTGATATTTGTTGATAATCCATTAATAAAAAGTTGATAAGCTAAGCGCCATTTTTTCTCTCCGTATTTATAAACTAAATTATTTAGTTACTAAAATTTCGATAGGTATTTTGTCAGGAATTCATTGCTAAACTGCCATTTTTTCTCTCCATATTTACCAACTAAATTGTTTAGTTACTAAAATTTCGATGGGTATTTTGTTAGGAATTCGTTGCTAAATTCCGGATAACAAATTAGTTACCAATTTGTTGGTAATTTATTACTAATATACTAGATCGAATTTCAACTTCTTGTATTAGTACATTCTGTATGTATTGAAATTGATCAAATTGAGATATTTGTTTAGGTTCTGAATTTCAATGAATAATATCTCTAGTCCATTATATGTGCTTATATTCTTAATTTTGATGTAGTTATTATGATATGCATAGTTTGTTTTATTATTTTAATCTATTAAAAGGTGAGACTCTATGATGAGTCAAAATATTCCTAATAGATTGGACAATAACAAATTACATTCGAGAAATAATAATTAGTTGATAGAACTATATCTTTGGTATGAGAAAGAAGACATCCCTTTATGGTTACTTATATCCGTCATGTGAATTAATTTAAGTATAAAGATAAATGATTAAATGAATCAATGGATTAAATTTTTCAGAAGTTCAATTTAATTAATAGGTGTCGTAATTCTAGCATGGGGAGTTAAATAAGTTGTAACAGTAAGAAATTGAAATTAAATAGAGAAGGACAGTTAAAGATATTTAGTGGTACAATCTGTGATTTATTATGATATGATTAATTCATGCTAATAAATTTGCGGTCTGTACTATATATATATCTGATTAGTTGATCGAGTTTCGAAAAAAAAGGATTGTTAGTGCTTTTTTCAGTTTAAGAATAAGTTGTTTTTTGTTTTTATTGGTTTAAAAGAAGAAAATATTTTTAATTTCTTAATTGAGAAAGAGGAAAATAATGAATTTCTTTGACATAATGAGTTTACATTTTACACCTATTAATTATTAAGTAGATGAATTAAAAACTTAAGATAAGGGTATAATATGTAAAAATATTTTTTTTTTTAATTTGTCAAAATTGACAAGTAATTGAGGACAATTAAAAAAAGAGTAGACAAATAATTAGGAACAAAGGGAGTAGTTGTTGGGTACCCTTAATAGTGTCTAAATACACTTAATGATATTTAATGATTGTTGATGACTATTGATCATGGTTATTAAATACACTTACTAGAGTCTAAATACAATTAATGATGTTAATGACTAGATACATTTCATCTTTCAGACGTTTCGCCTCTTCTGAAAAGTATAAATAGGGTGGTGGTTCTCAATGAAATACAATTATTCTTCTAACAAAAAATTTGTCCACATAAGACTTGATTGAGAGAGTTAGCGAAAATTAATAGAAGACAATTTCAAATCTCAATTTTGAACGAGTTGTGTGAAAGTTTAAAAGGTTAGAGTTTCACAAGTTATTCAGTTTACATTTTCATGCGATTATGTTTTGTTCGTGATCTTGAATTATACTTCTATTGTGTATATTCTAATAGTTGTGATAATGTAAAATTAGATCAAAAGTTAAAAACTAATGTTTCAGTTTAAGACGGTTGTTTAAAATGGATTAAAAATGATCAATTTGTGAAACAGTAAGGACCATTACTACTTTATGCCAAAAAGTAGAGATGATTTTGTATTTAAATTGAAAGATAAGAGACTATTTTGGAATTCTTCTCCAAATTGACCCTATTATTTGTGCTTTCCCCATTTGGGTAGACTTATGGATTCTGCATTTGGGATCTTCTCTTTTTAAGCCATTTTCGATTTGTAAGTATCTTCTCTCTCTCTTTATTTCCCTTGAATCTCAGGATTGAATTTAATGGTAGAAATTTGAATTTTGTGATATTTTAGTCTATTCAATGCTATAGAGTATATCATAATTGAAACTTCCATTTATAAATATGAATTTATCGTCTATTGCAATCATAGAGAATCGTTTCCCACCTTGTATTTCCAATTGAGTTGTTTGGTGTAAGAATGAGTAAGAAAATAGCACAAATTTCTTATTGATTCGCAGTGAAAAAAATCATTGTTTCTACTAGTGATAGTCCTAAGAATAATAATATCATAAACAAAAAAAAGGCAGCTTAGAAAAGGTTTGATGCCTAACAAACTGGACTTGTTCTTGTGATGTAGAGGCTACTGTCACGGACTTAGAGTATTTGCTAAGACTCAATTTAACTAGAATGTGGCGGGACGTGACACTAGGCTATCAAAGTTTATATCTAGTATTTGCTTTTTTAAGACAGTGGGTGAAACCAAAACCATTAGTTGGTCATAGAATCTAAGATTGTGGATGGATTAAATTTGTCAGGATATATATTATCGCTTTCACTTGCTGAGACATAAGGTTGTCAGCTAGAATCTGATCCAACTATTTTATGTTGTTCTCAAAGAAAAAATTCTTTAAGAATTTCGGTATATTAAGTACGGTATTGTTGTTTCGTCCTGTATGGGTTACTCTGTCCTGTTTGTAACTTGTTCAGGCCTTAAAAGATGGAGAATATGGAAGAGAAGATTGAGGGTAGTCTCCAATTCGCACCGAAGGAATTGCTTCAGTGGAGCCAATGGCAGTTGCTTGATTCTGTTCTTCCTACTGGTGGTTTTGCTCATTCTTTTGGCGTTGAGGCTGCTATTCAAGCCCGGTTAGTCTCTGGGCCCGAAGATCTTCGAACATTTGTGATCCATATACTAGAGAATACAGGAAGCCTATTGCTTCCTTTTGTCTATACTTTGAATACATCTCCTAATGTTGAAACATGGTATAAACTTGATAAAATATTGGATGCGACACTGACGAATGAAGTTAGTAGGAAAGCATCTATTTCACAAGGATCGGCACTTTTGAGAGTGGCTGCTGCTGTGTTCCAGGAAGTTCCTTATTTTAAAACTATGCGAGAAGTGTCTTTGGCTAGTGGAGCTGTCCGTTTCCACCATGCTCCTATTTTTGGACTTGTCTGTGGGCTTCTCGGATTGAATGCTGAAACTTCGCAAAAGGCTTACTTGTTTATAACGATGAGAGATGTTGTTTCTGCTGCAACAAGGCTCAATTTGGTTGGACCACTAGGTGCAGCTGTCTTGCAGCATCAGCTTGCTGCAAATGCAGAAGATTTATCAAAGAAATGGATGAACCGTCCTGTAGAGGAAGCATGTCAGACTAGTCCTTTGCTTGACACTATCCAGGGTTGTCATGGTTATTTGTTCTCCAGGCTTTTTTGCTCTTGAGTGGTGGAACCGAAGATTCAAGATACGGGAGTTGGTGGATGAGAAAGTACCTTTGCCAAGCTTGTGCTTTCGTCTGTTTGAATTCGTTTCTGATCAGGATGTTGATTGTAACAGGTACCAGAAATTGTATCAGAAGAAATTCTTGCAAAAATGAGTGCACCACCTAAAAGTGATGCACCAATAATTACAAGTGATGAACTTGCTGAAGGTGATGGATTTGTATTTGGATTTCCAACTAGATTTGGAATGATGGGTGCTCAATTTAAGGCATTTCTTGATTCTACTGGAGGTTTGTGGAGAACACAACAACTTGCAGGCAAACCAGCAGGCATTTTCTTGAGTACTGGCTCTCGAGGAGCTGCCCAAACGAGAGTAACAATTTAACTGTAACAAAAAATGTGTTATTATTTTTACGGGTTGACAGCGATAACACAACTTGTACATCATGGAATGTTGTTTGTACCAACTGGCTATTCATTTGGAGCAGGAATGTTTGAGATGGAGAATATTAAAGGTGGAAGTCCCTATGGTTTTGGAACTTTTGCTGGTGATGGTTCTAGACAACCAACACAACTTGAATTGGAACAAGCATTTCATCAAGGCAAGTACGTTGCCACAATCACAAAATAACTCTAAGGCTCTACTTAATATTTCACTTTTTGCGACTCTACGACGAAAGGCAGACTGATGAGGGCGGGTTAAGAATTTCAGAAAGGAGAAATATGTTGCACTTTTTCTTTCTTTGTTTTTTTTTTAAAAAAAATATGTGATTCACTTAAAATAATATCTTCTTGATTTGGATTCAAGTTGCATTGGCGTTTAACTAATTAAATGTTTCTATCAACATATTGTTTTATCAAAAAATTGATTTTCGAAAAAGAGTTTGTTTTATTTTCGAAGATATTTTCGACTTTTAGGAGTCGCCACTTAATTTTTAAGAAAAATCAAGAAAACTTATTTCCAAAACAACTTAAACAGAAAAATTTGTTTTGAAAATATTTTAGGGGGTTCGAGATTCTTATTCGCGTCTTAGGAAGGTGTAAGACACCTAAGACACTCCGCTAACTTACGGTTTTCCAACGATTAACTTATTTGACTACTTTATTAACTTTTTTGCAATTCTTTAAGTTAAACCTTTATTAGAATTTTACTTGGACAAATTTACAAGTCTTGAAATATTTGTCGCTTTTTAGGCTTAGTTTTAAATTTAGTAAAATAGAAAAAGCGTCTCGGTGGGGTTTGGAGTTTCCAATCCTAGACTAAAAGGCATTTAAAGCAAAAATATAAACAATAGTAAAGAGAGAGAGATTTGGGCCCAAACTCGGGTTCTGTTCGCCTTGACCGAGTTTTGGACCCACCTGTTTTTTTTTGGGGGTTTCAACCCATTTTCCACCTGTACTAATCTAAACATATAAAATAATACGAGAAAGCAAAACAATAAAGGCTTATGCCCATTACAAAATACAACACAATAAGAAAATCTTCTAATTCGCCTTTGGATTCTTCTTCGATATTCCTGGCATTGGACTCTCGCATGTCTGTCTTAACTCGATCGAAGGAATTTTAAGTCTTGATGACACTCTTGAAATGCAACGGGAGAAGAGACGAGATCCAAATGGACACGAAAGGAGTCTCACATGCAACGAAACAGAATAGGTACATGTTAGCGAGTTAAAGGATTAGAAGATCAATTAAAGAAATTAGGTAACATATCCACATACAACTCGACTAACGGGCATACAAAGTGAAGGAAATAATCTACTTGATTACGCATGTGACACAAAGAAAGGTGCGGTTTAACAAAATGTTTCATTTGAGGAAAGCTTACAGAAATATATAAGCAGCCAAATTATGAGAGGAAAAAAAAACACATCACAACAAACATTTGAACAATCATTCAATATTAAGAATATCAACGCAAGCTGATCAAAATGGAGAATCAAGAACAACATCACACGACTAACTTAAACAAGGCATCATATATCTTGAGACACTAACGAAACTTAGAAAATAAAGAACGAGTCAACTGTTGCATTTAACGAAGTAGACACAACAATCATTCGACCTTCTCGCTAAATAGCCTTGACACTTTGCTTAACATTTACAACCACCCAAACACAACATATTTAATCAATCCCTAATGAAAACGAAAGACAGTAAAATAATCATGCAGACATATTTGAAACCATCTATTTATAGTCAAACAAGTCTTAAAAGAAGTGAGATAGAAGCGTGATTCAAATTAAGGCAAAGGAACTATCCCATCAAGGTGTTCCAAGAAACCAAATCCCTCTTTTACATTTCATCAAACAGTTCGTGAGCACAATGGATTCTCCCACAAACACAATAAAAATTCCAAAGGGTGTTCTTCAAATCAAGAAACAAATCAAACCCAGATTTCAGAAACAGCCGAATGAACAGCTAGACCAATCCATTTCTCCATTAAAGGCTAGGCGAACAGCAAAATCAGAACTTCCACGAGCGACAACAATTCACTTTTGAAACAGAACAACAAAAAAAAACGGAGAAGTAACATGGAGCAGGGAATTACCAGCAACATACACATATATGCATCAAAACATAATAGAAATAAAAAAGAATAACAGTGAATGAACAGAGCCCTTTCGCGCACAACAAAACTCAACTCGAAAACAGGACATCAAATGGGATAGATGTTACCTTTTCGGGAGCAGCGAACTGGGACTATGCGAGCAGGAGAACGACGACTTCACGCCACAGGTGACACAAACCACGGCTCTACGCCTATGTCGCTCTTAGGAATATTTCCGACAAAACAAATTGAGCTTCCCTCAAACTCGAACAAAGAAGAAGAGCAGTGGAAGAAACTAGTGAGGAAACCTAAGCCAAATTCTCAACCTCGAAAAAAAAATCCTTCATAACAACAATCCTATTACCCAACCTAAACGAAACTCTTTTTTTTTAGTTTTCTCGGAAACAATAGAACAACCCAAAATCTCCAACCTAAAATTGCTAACCAAGAAGAAAAACAGTAGAAGAGACCAGTGAGAAAATCTAAGTCAAATTATCCCTCTATGCAATCTTTCGACAAAATCTCTAAGTATCTAATGATTTTTTCACTCCGAAAATTCCAACGCTCAAAGTTCTAACCCCTTTTCTTGAGAACGAAAGGGGTTTATATAGGGTTTTCGGAAGAGGGAGGGCGGGAACGTGACTAGGCCCATTTCAATTCAAAATTTGAATCTCTTCCATTAATGGTGCCACATCTTTTCCTGAAGATTTCGTCCTTTTCGAAAATGGAAAAAGGGAGGGGAATGGCTAGGATCGCTTCAATTGTCCTTGAGGGGAGACGTGGATCGATCTCGCGCCATCAAGGACGAAAGCGCGTCTGCCATAGCCGCGAACGCAGGTCTGCCACAGCCGAAAGCACTGCACTGCTGCGATGGATTGAAGAAGGAGACGTTGGTGGAGAGAGAAGTCGTGTGGAGAGACGAGAAATGCGGCTGGGGGCTGCTTTTCGTACGCAGCTTCTGCGTTTTTTCTGGAAATGGCGTAGGTGGGGAAATCGCGTAGGGGAGAGGTCGCGTCTGGGAGAGAGAGCGTGGGCGAGACGAGGGAAGAGAGACGAGAGGGGGAGTTACGCGTGAGGGATACGCAGGCGGAGAGGAGGAGAAAGAGATAAGATGGGGTCTGGGTCGGGTGTAGGCGGGTTTGGATCGGGTGTAGGCGGGTTTGGATCGGGGCCGGGTCGAATGGGTTGGGTCGGACCATTGAATGGGTTATGGGTTGGACTATTAAATGTTTAATGAATTGGGTATTTAGGTGTGGGCTGAGGGAAATTTGGGTTGAAAGGAATTGGGTTGGGAATAAGAGTGGGTTGATGGTGGAGTGGGCCTGGGAATTAGGAATACTTAAGATACACACATATACATATACATATATGTATATATATACATATATTTTATTTTCGCAAGATTTATAAAACTAATTAACTTTAAATAATTTGAAAAACTCACGAAGCTCGATAATTAATTTGTACCGACGTGGGTCAAAAATTGGGTGTCAACACATATTTTATTGGAAATTTTCTCTCTATCCCCACAAAAGTAAGGATCGGGATCAATTCTATATATATTTATTCTTTCAAATCTCACTTGTGAAATAACACCAACAATGTTGTATTTAATATATGTTTGTGTTAATGAAACCTCGTATTATTCGAGGCAGTTATGTCGTTGGGATCATAATTCGAGGGAGATTTTCGATCATATTAATCTTCATGAAAAGACAAGTAATGATTTTCGAATGATACGAGGCATGAGAAAGGAGAGGAGAAACTACCTTATGATTAGAAATATATTGATACCATTTATACTAATTTTATCTATACTTTCAAACAATTATGTATCTCACCATTAATTAAGAGTTTTCGATCATATGTTGAGTAAGATACACGTATTTTGAGTCCAGATACACTAAAGTAGGGAGAAAGACGAGCGAGATGGGGAGAAAGATACTCATGTATCTCAGATACATGTTAATCACACTAGATACATGTATATATATGTATTTGGTGTGATTTCCACGTATATGGCATACCAGATACAAAAGAGAGTAACAAGCAATATTTTACTATGTATCTCATATACATGTGCGTCCACTTTGTGTATCTAGAACAAATTACACCTAATTTTTATCATATATATTTGAGATACATGTATTTGGATGTATCCGAATGCACCAAAATCTAAATTTGTCATATTACAAAGTAAAAAATGTATCTAAGTAATTAACTCATAAACTAATAAAATTTCTGTAAGTTTCCCAAAATTAACTTACATGATCTATTATTTCTAAGTAATATATATATATATATATATATATATATATATATATATTATTATATATAT